TACATACAAGCGAACACATTATTTACTCATCAACGAAAACGCAACAAGTATTCACCTCAAGCAATACTACACTGTATTTCACGGGCACAGAAAAATAAACCTTTCACGCCATTGTTTCACGCCGAATAGCCCTTACAACACTGCAAATGACTCGTAATATGATAATGAGTAGCAACGTTGCAGAAAATGCTAATTTGTGGATGTGTTCGTGCATTAAGTCCGTTTAATACATGCTGCACCCACTCCTGACGTGCGCTGTCAAGTGTATATTATGTATTTATCTTTATTTCCAAATTCCTGTTTCCTTAGTAGAGGTTATGATGAAGATGATGATAATGATAGTGATAGTGATAGTGGTTGCGATAGTAGTAGTAATAGTAGTAGTAATAATAGTGGTGGTAGTAATCAGAATTATTATGATTATAATTATTACTAGTAGTAGGAGTAGTAGCATTTTCATCATCGTAATGATAATTATGATTATTATTGTTGTTTCTGTTGTCGTTGATGACGATGATTTGGACTTTGATAACAATTATCATGATAATGATAATAATAATAGTAGTAATGTTAAGAAAAACAACAATGATGATAATGCCATTTTCATATTATTATTATTATTATTATTATATTAATTTATAAAACTACAACAACAGCACCAACCATAAAGTGACAAGAAACTTTTAATCACAGAAGACAGCGACAGAATTATCTTTGTGAAGACAGACTGGAAAACCCCCGAATCCAGGCTTCGTGAAAGGAAACTGCCTAAAGTACATGTAAAGTTTCCATAAAAGATTCCTTCGAGTGTTTTGGAAGCGAAGGCCAAATTTTGTCTTTGGATACTAAAAATACGACGTGTTGTAAATATGTAGAAGGTAAGTGTGTGTGTGTGTGTGTGTGTGTGTGTGTGTGTGTGTGTGTGTGTGTGTGTGTGTGTGTGTGTGTGTGTGTGTGTGTGTGTGTGTGTGTGTGTGTGTGTTTTAAGCGGGGGCGGGTCCAGGGAATTTTTGGTGGTGGCACAGGGGGTAACAACAATAAATCGGGGGGGGGGGAGCGCCCAAAAGTAACAAAGATTAAGGCTGTCTACTTCAATATTTAGATTGTACATTTATACATTTTTTTGTTTTCATCTTGCTGTATGTGTATTATATATTAACATATATTAATATTACATATTAGTATATAAATATATTATAATATATAGATATCATATATTAATATATAAATATTCTATTTTATAAAGGGTCAGTGACCATTGGGGGTGCACACGGGGTGGCCAATCGGATTGCAGGGGGCCGGGTGCCTCCCCCCCCCCCGTGCTACCATGAAAGCCCCACCTCTGGTTTCAAGTACAGTGAAATCTAACATGGATGTGAACCCGTAATTCTGCAAGTTGGTAGGTTTATAGTACAATCAGCTGAAAGGGTGAGCAGGTCAGTCTATAGAATTATGAGAATCGGACCCAACATTCCTTTGAACGCCATGGCTCATAGAATGGTAAAGAGTGCTTGGAGATTACGATGAAATCAACTACCTCTGAGGACCTCGTTTGAACTGACGCCTGGTAGAAGGGTCCTTGGTGAGGAATCCAGCTGAGCTCCACTCCATTATCTTTTGTCTTATCTCTACCCTTTCAGTACGACGAAAACTAATCAGTGCATTCAGTTATTAACAAGGAGGAAAAAATGATCCATCTATAGTAATTAGACGCGTGCTCCTTGGGACTGAATCTTATCTGGTTCAAACTGTCTGCGTGTTTTGTTGTGGAAGGGTTAGAGGTTGGGGAATGTACAGCATTGGTACTGATACAAGGAACGATTTCTAAGTGCTGTGGCATAAAGTAATCAAGGTAAAGTAACTAAGAGTGTTCAGAGCTGATGGCTACAAGTAAGTATAAGGCTTATTACAGTTGGACAAAATAAAACACAAGGTGGTGAAACGCGGAATTATATTTAACACAAGTAAAGTTAGGAAGGCATTAGAAAAAAAGATGAATGGTGGAAATTACATAAAAGTAATCAACACACAGGCTGTTCATATGTATTATAAAATCGCACGTTTTATCGAGCGACGAAAGCAAGTATAAGAATATGGCGGAAGAACTGGTAAATACTCAATACTGCGTGGTAATTTGCGCCTTTGAGTTAATGTGTATGATTCTATTTATCAACGAAAGGTAGAAGAAGAGGGACCCTTCGTGTAAAAATTACAATAGTATTGTTAAAATTAAGGTTCTGTAATGACATTCAGGAGAAAGGGAATGTTTAATAAAAATATCAAAGATCGGTGAAAATGAACAGAAGAAATGAGAGTAATACCATAACGGAAGATCTTAAAGAAATGCATAGACAGTATAGCACAACCTGATAAAGCAGAGAAGCCGAGGCGGACAGAGGAGACAGATCAAGATAGTGACTCTGAGAAGACGTTGTGAATGAATAAACTGCAATCCAAAATTCCACAGCGCGGAGACAAGCCTTAAAAACGAACTTAATGGCAATGGAAGTATCAGTATGAATAATAATAAGCATATGGTTACAAAATGATACTGAGAATAACGATAACAGGAAAGAATAATGATTATGATGATTATAATGAAAGCAATAGCGCAAATGGGATCATACTGGTTTATGTTAAAATTGACAAGGATTTGGGTGGTGTGTTATATGTGTGTTGTTGCCAGTCATAAAAAAAATATTAGTAATTACTGTAGTTGATGTGGAAGTAGTACCATTCTTTCCTTTTTCTTTTCTTAGCTGTATTAAACTGACTTTGATAAGGAATGGAATTCGATTCGACTTTGATTACTGCATCGTCCCCTCACAAAAAAAAAAGATAAAAATAAAAAATATATATACCAAAGACACATTCTTCCGTGTCGAGAAATGTATAATATTAAGTATCCTATTATTTATTTCCAAAGATATATAAAAAGGTATCTTATAATCCCACGCTGAAAAGGAATTAACTTGATCTTTTTCCATTAATTAAGAATTATATTAGACTATTGTCCAGGGCTAATTTTGTTTTTAGTCTTACTATTGGCTATCGTTTCCTGTCTATTTTTTCACTTATTGGTGTTGTTACTACTATAACAATTATTATTACTGTTATTATTATTAATATGTTATAATTTTCATTATCATTATCATTAGTATCATTATTATTGTCATTATCATTAATATCAGTATTAGTATATATGTATTATCCTTATTAATATTATCATTATCAACATCATCTTTTATATCATCATTATCATCATAACCCTCACCAAGGAAGTTATATTCAAGGACGTCACCAGTGTACTTGAGAAAGAGGCAATTTTATTTTTTGTATTTATTAGTTTATTTATTTTATTTATTATTTATTATTTATTTATTTTATTTATTAATGATTTTTTTTTATTGCATCAGTGGTCCCAGAGCCTTGCTGGAGGGACGTGCTCTCTGAGTGGTTGTAGTTGTTATCGCTATTGCTATTATTACTTTCATTACTTTTGTGAGAGATGCTGACTTTAATGTCCTCGTGTATTCTTGGCCTAATCTTTGCTTCCTTAATTTACATATGGGAATGGTCACTTTCGCGTTTGGTATGTTTTGGTTAAGTCTCACGTTCAAAGTTTTCTTCTGTAATCTTGTAACAGGTGTTGCTACACACACACACACACACACACACAACACACACACACACACACACACACACACACACACACACACACACACACATATACATATATAATATATATAATATATATATATATATATAATATATATATATATATATATTACATACATATATGTGTGTGTGTGTGCGTGTGTGTATAAGTGAGTGAGTGTTGTGTGTGTAAGTGAGTGTGTGTGTGTGTGTGTGTGTGTGTGTGTGTGTGTGTGTGTGTGTGTGTGTGTCTGTATGTGTGTGTGTGTGTTTTTTTAGGACACGAGAATCAGCTGGTCCACTTGAGGAGTTAATCATTGATTCTTTGATTTGTTAATTCACGCAAATCTCTAATTTCCTATTGTATTGTATCGTATTTTGAGTTCAGCCATTTCCCTATTAGTTCAGTGATTTTTAAAAATATGTATAACCAGTAGATTTTAAATTTCTTTACTTACGAATCTCAATTAACTTAGTTTCATATTTTGAGTTCAACCATTTCCTTATTAGTTCAAAAACAAATTCTGTTCAAATCTGTTTCCATCCCTCTAACTTCTTCATATTTCTGTAGTTTTAGTTCATATTTGTAATCTTAGGTCATGTAGTCTTAGTTCATATGAAAATCCTTCATATTTCTGTAGTTTTAGTTCATATTTGTAATTTTAGGTCATGTAGTCTTAGTTCATATAAAAACCCTTCATATTTCTGTAGTTTTAGTTCATATTTGTAATCTTAGTTCATGTAGTCTTAGTTCATATAAAAATCCTTCACATTTCTGTAGTTTTAGTTCATATTTGTAATCTTAGGTCATGTAGTCTTAGTTCATATGAAAATCCTTCATATTTCTGTAGTTTTAGTTCATATTTGTAATCTTAGGTCATGTAGTCTTAGTTCATATGTCTGTAGTTTTAGTTCATATTTGTAATCTCAGGTCATGTAGTCTTAGTTCATATGAAAATCCTTCATATCTCTGTAGTTTTAGTTCATATTTGTAATCTTAGGTCATGTAGTCTTAGTTCATATGAAAATCCT